AGCCTCACACGGGAAAGACCAATGGAGAATTAATTACCAGGCATTGATATGAGTTAGAGATTCCCTGTGTAATGAAGAGGCTTTTGCGATAAACAAGCATCAAGTTTAAAATAACATTTAGACATGGGTTTACATATAATTACAAGAAAAATGCCATTAACTTTATTAAACATGTGGTCAATAATAGGAAAAATTAATGTTTCAGGTTTTCCAAATACAATAAAATGTATATACGAAATAAATTTTAATTCATCCTAAAAATATAATCTTTGATCATTTAACAAGACGATTAACCAAAAGCAGTGATAATAAAAACTGTTAACTAAATATATTTTCAGTTAAAAATTGAGATAGCTAATAGATTGCATGGTTTAAATCCCAAAGCTACGAACTAAATGAAACTGGTAGCTTCGGATAACTCCGATCATGAAAAATACTTTGCACGACCAACTGGTCCTCTCAAGTCAAAGAAACTTTGGGCACACTAAGCTAACTGATCTTTTATGGGTGAAATATTGTTGAACTTAAGAATAACCTTCGGAAAATTAAACCAAGTTCACGATGATAAAGAGTAGAAATTTCAGAATGCTCTTACCATAATTTTATTATAAGAAATAAATAAATTACAAATTATTATTATTATAGATCTGTTTTTTACTAAATAAGAGGTGGAGGAGTAGGGAGGCAGCTATCATTTTTATCCCACCCAAAAGAGCACGCTTATCCCCTTTGCGAAAACACCCCCTCGTACGCAACGCGAACGCGCTGCAACGCATCACAATAAATCGATAGGGAAAATAGGCGCGCTATTTCTAAATAAACCACGTGGTTACTTTATCCCATTCCCCATCAATTAGTAGGCCATTTATACTGTTCGCAAATATTTCCAAACGAGTACATACCACAGCAACTGCAGGTGTTGTCAAGATTTCATGAAGATCAACCGTAGTGAAATAAGCGACGTTACAAAGGGTATATGCAGCCGTGACAACAAGGCAAGAAAATACGATGGCAATGGGCAGATCACGTTTAGGGTTTTTCATTTCTTCAATCATGCAGTTCAGGTAGTTCCAACCAGCATATGCAAATAGACCGGAGTAGAAACCAGTGGCAATTCCTCCAAGACTCCAGTCTGAACCTTCAAAGGCATTGTCGAAAGCCTCAGTGTGTCCTTTAAATGTTTACAGTCGAAAATAAATTCAAAGGAAATGTAATATGAATATTTAAGGTTTAAAAATTCCTACCGAATCCCATTTGGACAAATCCAGTGATAATAATCATGATAATGGCAATCAGTTTGCCATATGTGAAAATGTCCTGAACTCTAGTTGAGAGACGAGTGGAGTAGCAGTTGATATAAGTGATCAAAACTAATAAAAAAGGCCTTTAGATTTATTAATATATAAATGACCACAATATAGTAGAGATAATCTTACGCAAACAAGCAGCTCCCAGAAGTCTGACCACCATATCAGGTTGAGCACAGTCAGGAAAAAGGGGTTGTAAAATATACTTTGCGAATGTCATAGCGATGACAGCCATAGTCGCTGGTCTGACAACAATAACTTCGACCCACAAGCGAAGGAATCCAAAGAATGGGCCAAATGCTTCAAGGATATAAGCATAGTCAGCCCCGGAGCGATGGATCAGAGTGCCCAGTTCAGCATAGCAGTAGGCACCCACGAGAGAGAAGAGACCACAAGCGACCCAAAGAACAAGACTGGCGCCGACGCTCTTTACACTGATGAGAATACCAGTTGGACTGACAAAAATACCTGATCCGATCATCGATCCGATAATAATATTAATACTCTGAACAAGACCAATGGTCTTCTCCATTTGAATTCTACCATCTCCTGTAGCCCCCATGTTTAAGCACTATGGTATTATGGAAATAAAAAGAGAGCAAAGGCTTCGGTTAAGATAATTAACTTGAAGAATGGTAACGTAATATGTGAAAAAGTGCTGAACTGAAAACGGATAACAGATGCCCAAAGAGCGTTAGCTAACCTACAAGAAAAACAGACAAAAGGAGCACCAACAACCAAATAAGGCGAAGGGAGAGGGGACCTGCCGATACTGCGCAGTGAAAACTTAAAACAGTTATGAATGAAAAAATAATAGGTACATTTAATGAATTGTTTATTGTCATGTAAATTCAAGATAATTAATATAAATTTATTACATTCGATTAGCGTGTTAAAGAGTTAGTCTTAAAATTAAACCAATTCTAACACATTTTTAATCAATGAACCTTGTCCTTCATTCTGCTAACAAGGTAGTTTAATTAAAATAAATGGATTAATTTATTTCATTATTTATTTAGGATTTGGATTCATTTTATCATTTACACTTAAGAGCTAACTTTAAAGCCTTCTTGTGGATTACCTTATATAAAACTACTTGAATTTAACCATCAGTATCCCATTTATACTTCGCACAACAGATTATACGATAATTAGCAGGTCTTTAATATGAAAAATCAATGGAATTATCGTTGTGAACAAAGTATTTTTGAAATTCAATCAATTTAGTTGTTGTTGAATTAATAAGTCAATGTGCGGTTAAAATCGCTTCAAAATCATCAAATACCTTGAAATTCATGTTATTAAAGCGTCCTGCTCCCAGAATATTAATAAATTTTGCTTTAATGATACAAGAAAAGCAACATGAGAGGGGTGTGTATAGACAAAGTCATACAGCCCGATTGAAAATAATAAATTGCGGTTGAGAAATGGTTAAGTAGTGCAGCTCTGCACTTGCCAAAATTAAATAATTGCAAACCCACTCACAGCCGCTGCATTAAATATTTGTGCCCACCTACTTTGCTCGGCTAGATATTTAAATATAAGCCATCGAAAAGCTTATTTTTAAGTCTGTTAACCGGCAGTTGACTTCTGGCTTCTAACTACCACGACCTCCCCCCCCCCTGGTTGTCATATTCAACCCCTTCCACAGTATTCCCCCTACCTTTTTCTCTACGTTTGTGTCCGTCTATCTCTTTTACATCTGTGAATCGCTCTTCTGTTCCCCACCCCTCGACTTTCTGCCACTTTGATGAACCTTCCCTCTGTGAAGCCCTAAGCCAGCTAAATGGCTAATGATATCTATCAAAACGCCTGCCATTTGAAATAAATAGTTTCTCCGATATGATATGGTTTTATATGAATGAGCATGCATTGAATAACAAATAAATTTCTAACTCATTTTAGGTATAATTATTTTTAATTAAAAAACTTTTACCCAATAGACTTTTACATTTTCTCTTATTTCTTCCCAAGTTCGTCTAACGCTTCATTTTAGACCAATGATTGGGTAGTTTCAAGGATTTTTGTGTAATGGCCGTAAGGGTGCCTGCGGAGGTAGTTTTCCTGTTCTAATTTGTTTCTTTTTTAAGTCTGGTGAATTTTTCTCCAAAGACAATATCTTTTCATTAAAACCAGTACCTTGGTTCAGGTCTGCATAATTCTATTAAATTACTGACAAGCCTTATAGACCTTCTGCTCATATTACACATGTAGTCGTCTGCAGTAATATTATATTTGCAGCAACTACATCTAATCGACTTATCATTGCTGGAGTTCTTGACAGAAGTTATTTTGCTGGTACGATTAATCTTCTAGACATGTCGAAATTTTACACGGTTCTTAGTTTTAAATGAGTACTTTATTTTCTTTAGAAGTGGGAATTCCTTCAACCTCCGATGATCGTGTTCACAATCTCTTTGTTGATTATCGCGGATTTCACATTATCATTAGTATGCAGTCCGGAGTTAATTTTTACACAACACGGAAATCTAAAAAGTTTAAGCAGATCCAAAAAGCAAAGGTAAAATAGATTTCCCCGCTATATTTTTAGGATATTTTAATCGATTCCGTCGCTTGGAACCAGTACCATGAAAGCGACACCACAACTCAAGAAATACTCATTGGTACAAATGATGGAATAATCTTTGAAACTATGCTCTCTACTTATGATGAGATTTTATCTTCCTCCAGTGGAACTGTTATATGGAAAGAAGTGGGATTTCTTTTTCGTGTAATTATATCCCTATTGTATAGATGATCCGACTTGATAGCAGTATTACTGGATTGGCAGTCATTCGATACCCTCCTGGTTCATCTTTTGTGCCAGTTGGCGAACCCCAATTGTGTGCTATTTTTGCCTCAACGTCTGGAAGGCTCTACCAATTCTTTGGTCGCATTCAATCCTCTGATCTTGTTTCTGCTACTAAATACATTAATCCTCAGTCAGCAGTTACAGCACTCCGTGAAGGCTATATTCCTGGCTTCTTTGCTCCTATTTTCGCATCTTATGCAGAAAACCCATCTGGGGCTAAGTGTATTGAATTTCCAGTTTCCTTTGGATATAGTGATTTAAAAGTATATCAAAAGAAGAACGATGAGGTTCCCTCTCAGTTTGCGTGGATGACATGTAAGTATATGACTTTCCTCATTTGTAATGTTGAGTCAATTAATGAGTCAGCTGGTCATAATTGGGAATGCATTTTAAATTTTGGCTTATTTCTGAAATTCGATATCAATCGTCGGGTTTTTTAACCAAAATTTATCTTCATTGTCTTAGCGTCAGTTTTCAAAATGCATAACTTCCATATCAAATTATCTCACCAGTTCTTTATCCACCAATTATTGTATTCACTATTCAAGTATATTGCCTTTTGGCTATAACTCTATTTGTAAGTTTTGTTCCGTTTGTAAACAGAAGCATTGTATTATTTTACTTCACTGTATTAGCTATGTACTTTTCCCTTTTATAAAACCATGGGAACCAAATTATTCTTTATTTCTCTTCATAGATGTTACGGTTTCTTTCACTTTTCTTGAGATATACCAGAGGGGTAGTATCACTCAGTGGAATCAGGTTCTTCGGTTTCGTTACTGATTTATCGAAATCTTCCATTCTGTGCAGACATGCATAATTTCATTTTATATTTGGGTACATGTAGCCATTATACCTTTCTATATACTTATTTTATGTATCTTTTACCATTTTTACTTTATTTTAGCTTCCGGAATCTACTTCGGCAAGTTGGATGCCAAACGCCTGCTTGATCCCGAATTGTTATCTAACGCTGCCAATTCAACTTCCCCATTGCGCATCTCCCTTGCAAATGAGGCCAAACTCATCAAGTATCCCCCTATGGACCCCGGATCAGTCAGTCTTCCTATTTGTATTTCACTTTCTGAATTCCACGTCATTGTCTCCTATGGGGATCGCGTTAAGGCCATAAATGTGTTGGATGATCAGACGATTTTTGTGCAAAGCACACGGGATGTGTTAGGTGCGTCTCATGCGATGGGTGCCTGTAGAGATCCGGCTGGAGGTGCGATCTGGCTCTATAGTGGAAGCGTTTTGTGCAAATTGTGTGCGGAACAGGAGGATTTGAGAGTTTGGAGAATTCTACTGGATAAACAGAAGTTTTCCGAGGCTCGAAAACACTGCAAGGTAAAAGATTGAAGAGAACAGTCTGGTTCTAAATAACTTACTTGAGTCGTCTTTTTTAATACTATTCTGTTTTCTCCACTTTCAGCTGCCTGAGCAATTGAATGAAGTCAATGCACAAGAGGCGGAGCTTTGTTTCTCTCGTGGCGAGTAAGTATCTTAAGAAATGTTCTCTTGCATTTCCAGTCCTAAGTTTCCTTATATACTTCTTAGGGAAATTTCTTTCGTTTATTTTACACCTAATTGATGTACAGTTCTGTGACTTTCTAATACCTGTTGTTTATAAACTTCTTGTCTGGAATTTGTACAGCATCTGTGTATCAAATCGATTAGTTTTGATTTGTGACTGATATTATTTGTCATAGGCTAGTTTTTAATCAGATAGCAATTTAATTTTGACCTCAATAATACTTGATACCATTATGTGACGCCTTTCTTGATCTTTTAGCTATGCCCGATCAGCAGAGTTATTCGCCGAGACTTCGACTCCCTTCGAAGAGGTGGCTCTTCGTTTTAGCCAAATATCTCCGCTCACTGGGAATTTTCACACCGAGGGTGGTGGAGGAAATTTTGCCACAGGAATAGCTCTCACTGAGGATTATGAAGTTGTGGAGGAATCCGACTGTGTTCAAGCTTGTAACGACGAGGATGAGGAAGGCGAGGGGGTCAAGAAATCTCCTTCAAAAAAACCGTCACTAACTCCATTAAATCCTCTCAGTGTCAACTTCCACCTTCCCACTTCATGCGCCCCTCTGAAAATCTTCCTTCGAGCGAAAAAAAGGTCTCTAGAGGCAGAAGGGAAGGATAAGCAGGTGGCGATTATTGTCCTCTGGTTGATTGAACTCCTCTTGGGTGAGATTAGTCTTTGTTCAGACAAGCATGAAAAGGCTGATCAGCCAGCTGCTGCGATACAGGAGCAACTTAACAATGTTAGAAATGAGTTTAGAGCTTTGGTCACGTCGTGCAAAGTTTTGGTAAGATTAAGCCCATTTTGTTCGTCATATTTTTAAGAATTTTCGCTGTTATTTTATTGTGGCTTCTTATTTATATCATAGAGTATGCTTCCTCAGTGCAAGGATGTAATCTACAACTTACTGATTAATCACGGCAACTCTGATGACTTTATATTTTTTGCTAAAACAAATGGAGGTACGTTGATTGTGTTTTGTACACTGTGTCACCTTTAATATATTTCATATCGATCGATTATTCCCGCGAAAAGATCTTAAAACCTCTAATCCTGCTTACCCTTGCTATACCTCAATAGAATAATTAGGTTGGCCAACAGAATTTAGTTCGATTAACGAAATTTGGTTCGTTAAGTTATTCTACTACGAATCAATGTTATTGTGCTCTCTTTAAGTTTTACAATTACTTCACCTAATTAAAATTTCTTCTCTCAGATCATGTGTTTGAATTAGTAGTACATTATAGTGATATGAATCGTAAATTCTTTGTGATAGATTACGATCGCCTAATTGACTACTACATGTCGAGAGGGGAATATACGGAGGCTCTCTTTGTCTTCACAACACATCCATCCTGCGCTTCGAAGCTCTACCAATACAGCGTTCAGCTGGCTCCCACAGAACCCAAAATGCTGGTCGATGCTTGGATTCGAGCTGGTCAACGTCTTTCTTGTTCCAGGTTAGAACATTTAAAGAAAAGAATTGCCACTTCACAGTCGTGTTTTTAAATGAATATAATTTTTTAGGTACCTCTGTCTTCTAGTTAGTTATCTTCGCTTTTTTTTATTCCATATGCAATCACTCAACTTGCTCTGGATAATACGCTTATCTTTGTTATTCCTTAGGCTTCTTCCGAGTATCCTACTCTTACCACCCCATGAGGCTGTTCGTTATTTGGAATTCTCTATTGATCAACTCCAATGCAAGGAACAGGCAATCCATCACCAACTTATTTTCCTATATGCCGATTTCACTGATTCCACCGCAGATACTCGTCTGCTAACTTATTTAAAGAAGTACACTTCCTCTGATCTCTCTGAAGTCTTTGCTGAAGCTCTAGGTGATGTTGGAGATAGTACTCATGCTGTTTCAAAGACCCTCTCGTCTGCATACTCCACTGTGGGACCAAATTTGTCCTATGATCCCGGCTTCGCTATTCGAATTGCAATGGAGAAGGGTTGTCTAAGGTCAACCGTGTTTTTACTTCAGTCCTTGAAACTGTTCAGTCAAGCTATTGATGAGACTCTATCTAAGGTACTCTCATATTAGACCATTTAATTCTTTGTTCAGAATGATATTGATTTAGCTAAGGAGATCGTTAACTCAAATATGCTGGATATTGATACGCAGCGAGCTCTGTGGCTACGAATAGGTAAAATCTATTTGTCAACTTTATGGCTTCTTTAGCTCGTCATGTTATTACGGGTAATAGCAGTCTGGAAGAGGCAACAGCTCTATTAAACGAATCTTCCTTACTCCGACTTGAGGACGTATTTCCACTTTTCCCCGATTTTGTCACGATCGATGAGTTTAGGGTAAGCATTATTAGTTTCAACTGATTGCATTCGATTTTTATTAGGAAGTAATATGTGACTCACTAGATGCTTACAGCGCGCAAATAGAACAGTTGAAAGCTGAAATGCGAGCAACAGTGGAAAGTACGAATGAGATTCGAACAAAACTGAGTGAAATGAAAACTCAGTATGTGCTTTGTGTTAAGTTTTTTTTTGATTTTGTTGTTTACCATTATGGAAATTCGTTTCCCTTCGTATTTTAGCTATGAAATCATTCCAGAGAATGCCCGGTGTTCCTTATGTTTACAAGCGCTAGCGCTTCGAACATTCTATGTGTTTCCTTGTGGTCATTTCTTTCACACTGATTGCCTTTTAAATCAGGTATGTCACTGTTTTAAATTAGAATGTATATTGGTATAATAGTAGCTTTTGTTAACGATGCTCGTTTCTGGCACAGATTCGGTCGTCACTGCTACCTCAGGATGCATCTAGATTAGCAGAACTATATTCAAAATCGGAGACAGACCCTTCAGCTATTCAAAAATTTAGGGTGAAGTTCATCTTTGCTTTGTCGCGTTGTGATCTACTTAACTTTAAAAAATTTAACTTCTATTTACTATTTTAGTCTGAATTTGACGAACTGGTAGCTTCAGATTGTGCACTTTGTGGTAAAATTGCAATTGAAAGTTGTAACCGACTCTTCTATTCGAATGCTGAAGACTATGAAAAAGAACAGCGAATCTGGCTTTTTTCTTAACACTGATTTTATCTGATCGTGATTTACTAAATTGACATCTTTTGTTAGTTACAATTTTTCACAACAGGGTTGTGATTGGAATGATTATCTTTTAAAAGTGGAAAGTTGTTGCAATTCTGGCTTTAGCCTGTTGATACTAAAAGTATACTTAGTTACATTAAATGAACGAATGGAACCGATTTTCTCACTTTCGGGGTGAGCAAAATGGGCAGTTTGAGGTTTGCATTACAATTCCTTCGACAAAATAGAGGCTGGATGATAGCCTTGGGCATAAAACAAGGCTTCATCAAATTCATCCAGAGTCACTAAATGATTGGACACATAATTTATTTTTATTCATTCTAGATGGAGAAATTAACCATTAATGTAGAAAAATATCTTAAATACCCTATCGACAGTTGATTGTCAATCGAAGTCTTCGGGGTTCGTAATATTTATAATTATTCATTCCATCAGTCGGTATCATTTGAGTTCTCTGTCAGATGAAATAACTGTTAGCTGAGAAAGACACTTGAGTACATAAATTGATATACATATTAAGACCAATGTGCCAATACAAATAAATTATACATTTTGATGCAAAATAAAGTTCCATACAGGAACAAATAAACGAAGAATAACTCAACTTATACAATTGTCAATTATATGTGAGCATAGTTATGCTACGGATTTCGATTAGTAAATGTATCGAACGATTTTGACAAATGGACATCAACATATCTGTTAATTAACCCGTTAGAAGCATATATTTGATAGGAATTATTATGTATCGTATTTTAGGAAATGTAGCCAACAATTAGTCGCAGTATAGTGTTAGTATTGCGGAATATAAAAAGTTAAGCTTTTTCATAATTCACACCTAGGTAAACAATTATGCCCGCTACATCGTTGAGATGCAATGGAAATAAAAATAAGAGGAAGCATTACATATTATTAATCTTTTAAATTAATTATATCAAGTTCTATTAACCTCCAGAATGGAAGGCTTCAGTGATATCCCCGTAATATATAGAGTGTGTAAAGATAATGAATAAGAACCGGGTTGTGTCCATGATCAGGTAAATTTTTAAAAAAACTGCTAGTAACCCCCCCCCTCCCCCAAAAAAATTTCAAGTTATATATGAAAAAAATTCTAAACATGTGACTTTGGCAAGTTCAATGAGAATCTTCAAAATTTGAAATGCCAACATGAGGAGGAAAAAGTACCTAAAGGAAATTAAATATAATACGATGCTACGAGAGGGAATCGAATGCTCACTTGCTAGGAATACACTGACATCAGTTTAATGTTGGCCCTACAGAAATTGTTATAAGAAAGGAATGCGCTTTCGAAATGGATGAAAATATTAAGTGCAAACAATTGTAATGATTGAGTAGTTTTTCATGTTTACCTTAACCTTAAAAAATATCTTAAGCATTTTATCATTTACTTTGGATATGTTTCCATTCACTATTAATAATAACATCAGTTGTGATGCCGATCTTTAAACAATGCTTTCAAGGTCATATAATTCCAAGACTCACGTGGCTTTCCATTTATCGTTTCGCGCGACGTTTGAGGGGTATGGTTTGACAGCTGCTGTATTTGCAGATTTATTCTGTGATATGTATTCTTTTGGTTGGGCGCTCTTATACATGGTCATGCATTTTATGCTAAATCACAACTCTAATACATCAACTTCTTTGAAGTTGCTTTAAAAAATTATTGCATTTTATTTCACATTTTGTTTTTCTTACTAACTTACTATTTGTAGTTATTTATAATGTTAATCATATTGCACAAGTTTCTTGATCAGACGTAACCTTTTGAGCTTTTTATAAATTTGAGGTTGTATTCGCTATTCGAATTGTTTCTTTGGATTTGCCCTTTATTCGTGGACTTTTCGAGCTTTGTGGTTATATATTTAAAAACATCATTCAACTAACTTATATTTTCTGCCTTCTTCTTAGAGTTAAACTTAATTGTTTTTCGCGTAATAATTCGTGACCTGGGGCTATGTTGATTTTGGAGTGGAATATTTTTTATTGTAGAGACCCGAACATAACTCTTGCTTGCTTATCGAATGGTATTGAATTCATTTGACCATGGGTTATATGTTCTGCTGACTTTATTTTCATGCACATGCGAAGCTCAATGTTTGTGCGGAACTTGTCGTTCTCTGTTTACGGTAAATATTTTACTGAATACTTCCGGTTTGTTATACTAACGAAATTATGAACTTAAGGGCGTGGTTTGATCTTTGTCCCGGAAACAGTTTTCTGTTCTCCGTGAAATTTATCCCTACGAGAAATGTTTTATCGCAAATGCTGCCTTTAGAAATCGAATGAAAAATATATCCTTTTGTTTTTTTTCAAATAATTTCTATGAGTCATTAACTTATGAATTATACCTTGAATTTTCCTATTAGCGTTATTAATACTAAGGTGACACCACAATTTCTTTTTTTTCAGCGTCTTTCTCCTTATTCTGATGTTGTACTTATTTTAAGTTAGGCGATTTTATGGATCAATGATCTTTTGTAAAATAATTTGATTTCAAAAACAAGGATTATGTGCCTGAAAATTTTCCCACTGTCTCTTAAATCTGTAACGAATACATTCCAACAATATTTAAATATTTACTATACCAAGCCTCTCTTCAAACTTGGCTCTTGAGATCCCAGGCCTTATAGCCAGCAGCTTCTTGATGTATACTTTTCCGTTAATGGTAGAAAGAACTATTTCTATGCCACGAAAATTAGAGTAAACACTTCGTTTCTCTTTAGTCAACCTCCATATTATGTTTATAAGTTGGCTTTCAGAGACTAAGTTTATTTTATTGCCCTCATACACTAGTAAATATATTTCCTAAGCGATTTGTACAATTGTAAATTCAAAATTTTAGAAAGATGTCGATGTTCATAAAGCTCTATCAGGGATATTCTAATCTTCTCTTGAAATATCCACTGAGCACACAATCTATCTCAACAGGCATAATCATGGGAGGTGGTGATATAATCGCTCAAAAGATTGTTGAAAGAAGGGAATGGGACGTTTCTAGAACTTTAAAGTTCGGTGGGATTGGCGTTTTCCTTATCGTGAGTTAATTATTTTTTTCGGTATGCTAGTTATCAAATATAACTTTCAGGGTCCAACACTCAATTTCTGGTACGCATTCTTGGATCGATTTTATAAAGGTCAAGGAGCTGTTAGAACACTAAAAATGGTGGCAACTGATCAGGTAAATTTTCATTTATATATGGTGATCTTCTATGTGTAATTGCTAGGTTGTCATGGCCCCTGTACTTGTTGGTTCAATCATTGGCCTGACTGGATTTACCCGAAATTGGTCTATGGAGGAAGCTAAGCGAGGACTGTCTGCTTCCTATGTTTCTGCTCTCCAAACAAACTGGATGGTATGAAGTTGTGATCTCATTTCTTTTTTCGATACTTTACTTCACGCATTGTCACAATTTGGTTATTGAAATTGTTAATTCTAGGATTAACTCCTTACAAAGTTTCAAATATAATATGGAAAGAATTAACAGAGCTTCTCATACCGCTAGAACAGTTCGAGACATCCAAGAAGACAATCCTAGTTTATTGAAGGAATATTTAACGTTTTAAACGGTTCTTTGTGCTAGTTGTCTGTATGGCAATCGGTACTTGTAGGGCATTTAGGTGTATCCCTGCGGCTTATTGCCGTTTCGAGTCGCTTGGGGTTTCTTTGAAACTTATCTCTTACTCTAAGCTTTCCGAATTATGTGAGAACACAAACGGGAAAAGAGGATTGGAAATGTGGCTGCCTGGGTATTTGTTTAGTAATTATTTTGAAGAAATTTCGAAAATTTAAATTTGTATCGACTTAGAAAGGTGTAAATTAATGATGAGTGGGAAAGGAAATTTGACTGTGGTCGCTAAATTTTCTTTGAACGAACGAGTTACGTACGTACACGTTTCCTTCAACCTGCGGTAAGAATACGCTTTAAATTACTGGCAAAACCAATTCAGTAAATTCTAGGCATTGTACTTGACTATAGTGTATCACTAAAATTCTAAATAACGTAATAACTGGGTATTGATTTAACATTAGATTTGATCAGTTGCTGAATTTAGTTACTTTGGTACTCTTTTAAATTATATGGGAACTAATATGTAGAACTCTATGGTTTTTCAAGCTAAGCGTCTGCGTGTCTTGTCCGTAGGTTTGGTTCCCTGCACAGTTCATTAACTTCACCTTCGTTCCAGTCCATTTCCGTCTCTTTGTGGTTAACTTTGTGGCCTTGTTTTGGAACAGCTTCCTCTCCTATGTTAGTCAACAGAAGAAGATGGAGGGCAAATCGGAGTGAAAATTGATTTTGCATTAGCTATGTTTTAGATGCTTTGATTTATGCCAATGATCTTATATATTAATAATTTTCTACCTACATATTGTCTTCTTCTTGGTAATTGGGCTCATTTTTAAATGCGGATAAGTGAAAGTGGAAAAAGTATTATTTATTTCTATCAAATGGTAAGCGTTTTGATGGTTATCATTAGCCCTTTAGTTGACTTCGGGCTTCACAGAGGGAAAGGAACATCAAAGTGAAAAAAATTCGAGAGGGGAAGCAGAAGAGAGATTCAAAGATGTAAAAGAGACAGACACAAAGATAGAATAAAGGTGAGGTGAGTGCTGTGGGATGATGGTAGTTTGAAGTCAGAAGTCAACTACCGATTTATGGACTTTTTGACCGTATGGGTATACGTTGCCCAGGGCGCACCACGTGGAGGTAAGTCTATCGCGCACCCCTTAGTGAAAGTGGATAAAAGTAAAATAATGAACCTTAAAAAATATTGCTCAATTTTGAACTTTGATTAGTAAATTAATGTGACAATACATGAACGCATGCATTCGAGGAAATCCCACTAGCAGGCACACGAATGATTAGCTTTAATACAATATTAAGTCTTATGTATTTAGATATTTATTTATATCAAATAGAAAGGCATTATGTTAGTCATCATTAGCTCTTTGGTTGATTTCGGACTTCACAGAGGGAAGAGTGATTCACATATGCAAAGAGACAGACAAAGGTAGAGAGAAAGGTAAGGTTAGGTGAGTTCTGTGGAGGCGATCGAATACAGCATACGGTCGGGTCATGTTGGTCAGAAGTCAATTGTCGGTATATAGACTTGCCGTATGAGTATACGTTGCCCAGGGTGTACCCCTGTAGTTTAATATGCATATCAGTTCTTTGAGCAGGTATAGAAAATATCCAACGACCAAGTGAAAGATCTCTCAACACAAATAACATTGTTCCTATCTTCTTGGCAAGATAATTGGAATTTTTATTTTCGAAGAAATATCGATGGAGCTTGAGGTGAATCAAAAAATGCCATAACTTTAAATGGATCAAAGATTTAAAAAACCCAACCGTCTCTTTAGAGCTTCCTTAATAAAATTCAGCTTTAAAGTCATTCTATTCAGGCCAGCATTAAAACAGGTGGCATAGCAAAATAGCTATCCGTTAACTAGCAAATTTTGAGAGTGAATCTAACATAAACTTGCTAATTTAACTAAGTTTGAAACCTACCCAGATCATGGAAGCCTTATAACGGGTTTATGCGGCCTCTGAGCCATGTAGACCGATCATTTATGGTTTTAGTAAACGCTTTAAGGGGTGGAGAGTACAACTTGGTGACAGCCCTTACCAAAAAACGGCAAAGGAAACTGCACAGTCAAATTCTGTTTCATCATGTCAACGCTTCTGAGCATTCTTCAAGAGCTGTCAAAGCTCTACTGCGCGAACGTCGGTGGGAAACACTTCCACATCCCCTTATAGTCCAGACCTAGTTCCCTCAGACATATTTTGTTTCGAAAACTGTAAGAACATCTTAAAGGCACGTGAACTACGTCCTTACATGAAGCGAAAACTATGTAATCTCATGGTGACAGAGACAGCCCCGCCCCCCCCTC